TTTCCTGCTCTTAGCCATTGCCAGGTCTTCTTGTTATCTGCTTTGCCTGCTAGTTTTTTTTTGATGACGACGATGATGGTGGTTGGTCGCACAGTCAGCCAGATGTTTGGATTTGGCAAATTTTTGAATGACTGATTTAGCATCAGGCTAACCTTGGTTTATAATTCTCAACAGCTGTGGTTCATCCAAACCATAGTCTCAACAACACAAAGCCAGCCACACAATGGGCTGAGGGAAAGGTCAGAAATAGGATGGTGGTGTGGATCTGAACAAAAAGGGCTTAAAACTCTTCCCCACTTGACATTTTCTTGTGAAATATCTCCTGCCCTCCACAGCTTTTACTGAAGATCAGAGAGAACATCTACCATCCCTGCCTAACTGCCCCAACTTTTATTGCCTCTCTTCCTCTCTCTATCAAAATCTTTAGTAAAAAGGAAAAGATTTATAATGACCTAAAGAAAAGCCACTTTTGCAAAATGGATTTCCTGCTTGGAAAAAGCCTTGTGATGAAATAAAGTGGATGGGTAACAAAAGCTGTGTTTGGCTTGCATTTTGATGCCAGCTCTCTCATGCATCCATTCACGATTCTGCATTGTTCTGGATTTTGCAATGCCGTTTGCAATTCAAAAGCCACGTGAGACTCTGTAGAGCGATGGAGAGGGAATCGTGCAAAACGACACGGGAACCACATAAGAAACTTTTTTTTTTTGATTGATTGATTGATTGATTACACGCCACCAAATCGGTGTTAACTCTTGTAAAAGAAATCTGTACAAAGCTGCATATGAGTTTTTATGGGGATTTCTCCCCCAACCTGGTGCAAATGTATACGCTGGCTAGAGGCAATGGAAGTCCAGTCTAACTGGGAGGCAAGGCATTAGGGTGAGCTCCTAAAATAGATGGTGGCCTATGCAGCCCTTTTGCTTGTTGTCTCCTTTTGGTTACCAAAAAAATCTATTTTTATCCAGCAGAGCAAGTTTTAATTATTTACCTCTCGCTATCAGGGGGCAGCTCTAACGCCACAGGACTGGTCTGTGCGGCTTCAGAAACATCAGAAATGATCAGCCCCCTCGGAACAGGGCTGTTCAGACACGAGGCAGGTTCTGCAGATGGCTAGGAACAGGGAAGAGAAAAAATGCATCTTTCATCAGTCGGACGCAGCTCCAAGACAATATGTCCAACAGTTCTCTCTCTGTCACCCCAGGCCAAGCCAGTTAAAGATCTAGCAGCGTTATCAGATGAACCTATGGTGCAATTCCAGAAAATGGGTCCATTCCACAGCCCCACTAGTCTCTCTCTAACCCAGCCTCTGACTCTTATGCATCAATTTATTCTATGGAGGTCTAATTCCTATGTCCATTTCATTGCCTTAGAAACAGATCATATATTGAATGAAATGGTGTGAAAGGAGACAGATACAATAAACCATGTTTCTGATTGCACATGCTGGCGTTAGCTGAAAGGATAGAACCCTGCTAGTGTGAAAAGTAACAGAGAGGTCATTCCAATCAAAAGCATTCCAGTGCAAAGGTGAAATTGTAATTTGCAATATTCCTTTTATCTATCTTTCTGCTGTGTAACAAACCAAAATGTTGCAGGAAGTTGCAAGTCTCAGGCTCACAGGCAGGTAAGTGACTGCTGCTGGGTGCACAGGGGTGCGAGGGGTACATGAGATATGCCATGTGGGTTGGGGAGGGTGCACAAGGGGATGTGCAACAGGTGCTGTGTGGGTCAGGAAGAGTGTGTGGGGGTATGAGGAGGGTGTGCGAGTGGCTGGCACAGTGCAAACACAGAGGGGTTAAGGGAGGGTATGTGGGTGCGGGAGACTTATCCCAGTGACTTGCAGCTTTCCCTGCTGGTTTCCCCACTGACTTTCTGGGGAAGCTGGCAGGGAAGATTGCAAATGGAGGTCACATGATCACAAGGCGCTTGGCAACCAGTCACGTGAATGGGTTTCCAAGTGCCCAGATTGCAATCATGTGACCACAGGGGTAGTAGGACAGCCAGAACTCCGAGCACCAGTCATAACCACCATTCGTCCAGGGCCGTTGTAACTCCAAACAGTCACTGAATGAATGGTCATAGGCTGAGAACTATCTGTCCCTTCTTGCACCTATCTCCAAATGATGCAGTTTCTTATTTACAGTGAGCATTTTCTTCTCACAAGAGTTTCCAGCTGAGGGCTGTGTTTCACCTTTGAAAGCCAACCTGGAGATGGCACTCCTAGGATGAGCCGATGAGTCCAGGACAAAAATTAAATTCATTTCAATTTAATTCCCAAATTGGTAGGACAGGCTGGAGGTCTCTGGGGATGCATCCGAAGCCCTGAGGGGCCATGATGCAACATGATGCCTCAGGCTGGGCAACTCTGGTGTGTGTGTGTTGCCTTGCAGGACTGAGGGGAATTTTTGCAGCTTCATCAAAGAATTCTTGAGTTGGAAGTCAGGGGCTCCTTCCAACTCAAGAATTCTATGATGAAGCTGAAAATCAAGTCTAACCTCCCGCTTGCTGCAGGAATCCAAATTAAAGTGGAGACAGGAGGAAGAGCTGCAGACCGGATAACAGTCTGATAAACAAAATCTGAGTCCGAAGGAGGGGTGGGGTGGAGAAAGCATCTCAGAAGGGGCCCTCCCTAGTTCTCTGGAAAGTAAAGGCAGGGGAAGGGGGAAGCGCTTTCAGACTTGCCAGATTCTGTTACTGTAACCCTACAATAAAAGTACAGATAGTCCTTGGATAACGACAGTGATTGGGACCGAAATTTCCATCGCTAAGCAATGTGGTTGTAAAGCATGACATCCCTGCAGTCCCCGTTGCCATTGTGAAGTGAGGATTGTGGGTCGTTAAGTGAGTCCCAGGCAACTTGCAAGCAGGCCAGCAGGCAAGTTAGTGGCTGCTGCCAGGTGGAGGAGAGCGTGAGCGATTTACTGGAGCGACTTGTGACCTTCCCTGCCAGCTTCTCCATTGACTTTGCTTGTGGGAAGCTGGCAGGGAGGGTCGCAAATGAGGATCATGTGACTATGGGACACTGCAACTGTTGTAAGTGCGAGCCAGTTGCCAAGCGCCCAGATCCCGATCACCTGACCGCGAGGACGCTGCAACAGCCAGAACTTCCAGGACCTGTCATAAGTACCACTCGCTCAGTGCCATTGCAACTTTGAACGGTCACTGAATGAGTGGTTGTTAAATGAGGACTCCCTGCAGTGTTAGTACTCATGCTTGGTGCTTCTTGTCTGGACTACCTTGAAGGGCTGACAGATGGCTATCCAAACTGTTTGAACACATCCTACAGAGTTGCTTTCTGTGAGCTGAGCAGCTATATAAATGTGATGGATGGATGGATGGATGGATGGATGGATGGATGGATGGATGGATGGATGCAAATAATAAACCAAGGGGAGCCCACTGTCTCTCTAATTAATTGATTTCACTGCCAAAATGTTTCTCCCGCTTGGATGCTTCCCGTAACGTTCAGTTGGAACCTGCCTTGCTTTAACTGGAGAGCCCCATTCTGCGTCCTTGGGATATTGACGGTCGAGATGCTTGCAAAGAAAATTCCCCCCACTACCAAATTTGCCTGGACCTTCTTCCCCCAAGTCCTACAACAAATTCTGAGTCGGAAAATAATCCGAAACGGGGAAAAAGAGCTGCAGCAGGACACGTCTGGCGCGGGATGGTTTGAGTCCCTTTGCTATTTGCCCTTACAGTCCAGCCACACAGCAAACCATGAAAACCATCCCCGGTTACATTAACAGAATCTTGCAAGAGTGGAAGTATTTCTCCCCTCCTCTCCTTTTACTCTCCAGAAAACTAGGGAG